TTCCCTCTTCCCACCCCTTCCCCCCCCCTCCTGGAGCAGATGAGCCACACACACCACCTGATGATTGGTTCCCTGGCAACAAACAGTTTACTACAACAGCTATCTTGTGCTGCAGTAAACTAGCCTAAGAGTTAAGGTTTACAGGTGACAGGTGCGGGTGAAGCTCAGGAGTTACCTGGAATGTGTTACAGGTGTTGATAGTTTGATTTATGAATTAACCTCAAGACGAAGTATTTTTTTGTTGTTGTCTTGGGCCTCTTACCACAAACCTTCAACAGGACGTGAATCTGGCGTTCCCTCCCACCCATACTGACGTGCTTGTGGAGGCTGTGCTCGACCAACTTTCATTCACCTTCAGCCAGCACTTGTGTTGTTCTCTCATGGTACAGTCATCAAGTCCCGCCAACAGCTTGTACAGTGTCTCAAGTCACAACTCACTGTGTCGAGGAAAAATATTTAATTATATAACATTATGTTGTCATGAGCCACATGTGAGGATGGGCACAACAATCAAGGCTTCAAGTCTGGATTGTTAAAAAGATTTTTACATTTATATTTCGTCAGGTCTGGGTGTTTGATGACACATATGACCGGCTGTCTCATGAATCCCACACAACGCTGGAGGTCAGTGACGTAGGGGGATATACTGTAGGGGTCGTGTGTGTGTGTGTGTGTGTGTGTGTGTGTGTGTGTGTGTGTGTGTGTGTGTGTGTGTGTGTGTGTGTGTGTGTGTGTGTTGGAATGACACTGATTTTTTTTAGTTCACACACACACACACACACACACACACACACACATATATTCGAAAAAAAAGAGTATCTGGCTGACGTCACATCCTTGATATAACCCTTATAAGACTCAACCTTAAATAGGTGTGTTCTTGGAGCCTCTATTACTTATCGGTCATTAAGAGTCTGCCCCAGGAAGCATCAGTGATTTGTAATACGAAACTTAGTTGTGTTGAGCAGAGCATTGACCTACACATTCGGTGAGGGTACGTCTGTGGACACTTGAATTGGCCGTTGGTTGTAGTGAAGCGTTTCCCTCCCAACAGTATGGTGTGAAGGACCTGCACGAGAAAGCTTTTATCTGGCCACTGGATTTCTAACATCTCAAGGTCTACAACCGAGGAGACTTTCTAAGTTTCCCCTGCATGGTGGCCGCCTGATCCACCATACTGTGTGTTTGGTCGTGTCCAACAACCCTGGTCGTCAGATACATTGCAGGAGCTCACCAGGTTCCTTTGGTTGACCCGTCACGGTGCTTGTGTGATGAGCGTCTTAACAGTGTTTGTGTGGATGGTCTCTGTGTCTTCCATGAGTCTCACAGGACCAGACTGATCGTGTACTCCAGTATGGGGGGTTTAATATTATGTATAAGGTGTAAACAACGCGATATTTAGTACCACTTTTTTAATAACAGCTTCAGTTTAGAGACATGTTACTCCTAAACATTACTTAAGGACATGGGAGTATTGTTGCCTGAAAGAGTATATTATAGTATTGTCTTTCTCGTCTTGGCTAAACCCTGGAAAGTTTTACTCCATTACTTCTTTTACTGGATGTCGTGATGTCCATTTGATCATTACAGGCGATGAGGTCACGAGCCATGATAACGCTGGTGTCCTTCGTAATCTCTTGTTGGGCTGGATGGCTTCTACTGCGTCTTAGGTGGCGTGTCTGTGTGTGAAGTTCGTCACTCCTCAGTGTGGACGCCAGGCTATGATCTATGTTCTGGCGTCTCCTGCGTGATGTATAAAAGCTAGAACCTCTATTAACTGTCTATTATTTGTATGATATGTAAACACTATAGTCAGTTAGATCATCTGAGGTGTTGTGTTGGAGAGGAGTAAGATCACCAGTTATTTTTAATATTATATGTACTTTAATGTACATGATCCACCAATGAACTCTGACAAAAACTGTAAATAAAGTTAAAAAATCTGGGATTTTTGCGTTGCTTTGCTCATGTTTTAGTTGGGTTAGAAAGTTTAACGTGTCTTAAATTTGGTTTCGTTAAGTAAGGTAGAGTATGACATCCACATAATATTGTGTATAATGAAGTATATACATCATTGTACTGGCTTTACAGCAGCACTTATTTAAAACTTTCATATTTCGGTGTTCCTGTGTATCAACAAAACAATGGAATGAGCAGTGAGGGGAGGCCGGATGTTGTACAAGTGTCGGCTGAAGTACCTGACGAAGAAGCTGGCGAAGTAACTGACGAAGAACCTGACGTGATGAAGTACCTTACGGAAGATATGTTAGCCCGATGAAACTCAAGACCAGTACTGAAGGATGTTACCTGAACTATGATGTGAACAAATATATGGGAACACAGTAGGTTTGGGTTGTAGCAGGATGAGTGGAAGTGGCAGGAGGGGTGTACTGATGAGATTCGGGACAGTGGCAGTACCTGGAGAGTGGCTTCATCATGGTTAGTAGCCGTATTAGGGGAGCAGTTTGATCCAAGTTAGAAGCAGTATACGGTTAGCGATTAGATCCAGATTAATCGCAAAGCCCGAGTAATGACCAAATCCGGGATACTCGCATTGTTCAGATAGTGAGATCCGGGTAGTGGTGGGTGCTGGTGACGGAGGAACAGCACCAACAAGAAGTGGCAGAAGTGACAAGAATCTAGTGACGGCGGAGGTCCTGGCCCGCCTCCGGTAACCCCTCGAGTTTGTATGAAATTTTAAATGGTTCTGTCGCTTGTGTTACCATCTTCACGTGTCCCCCTGTTGTTAGGTCGCGTGTGAGGATCAAGGGAGAGAGAGGCGTGACGGGGGTGAGGCAGTGGGAGAGAGACGCGTGTGGGTCAGTGTGATGGAAACTTGACAAGGTTGCGGCAATCGAAGATGAGAGAGAGATTAATAAATCGGCGTGGGAGAAGAATAGATCAAGAAAAGATAAAGATGTGGTAAATGAGGGAGAGAAAAGAGAAGGAGTACGACAGAGAGAATGGAGGCAAGAGGTTGGCTGTTGATATTGAAACAGTTTATTTATCCAGAAAAAACAGATACACAGTGGACAATAAGAACAATAGTGACATGGCTGAGCCAAGTGAGAACCTGAGCCCTCTTAGTGGCACCTGATATATACTGTACATGTGTTGAGTGTTCACTTAGGATTGAACTTTGTGAGAGGAGCCGCCACTGGCACTACCAAGAGGCGGGTACAAAGGGTGTAGGTCAAATGGGAGCGGCCCCGACCTAACCTAACCGTATCATTAAGATTGAGGCCTAATATAAGTCTCCAAATACAAGAGAGACAAAGAACGATAAAATGAGAATAGGAAAAGAATAAATATGAAGAAAGGAGGAGAACCCGAGTAGTAAAGTGTTGGTCCTCACACGGACACACAGCAGGTAGGGTAGGGTGAGGTGAGGTGAGGGAGCACCTCAGCTGCCCGCCAGTAATCACCTGCCCACCCCCAGGGACTCAACACCCCACCAGTATTTAAAGACCACCACATCCCGCTCCCGCAACACAAACTTCAGCACAAGTCAGGAACTGAGGCGGAAGAGTGGGCTGGGGATTTAAAACCGGATTGATCCTTTTTTTTTATATTAACACGATTTTTTTCTTCATTGATACACCTAGAAGAAGGAAAATTTTGCAAACCATGATTGTGAGTTCGTGTTCGCCCGTAGAGAAGCAGTTAACGTAATTATAGTTTTTATTTTATGTAGTATATTGTTCATATATGGGATGATTGCGTTAAAATGTCCCGTTGACTAAGATGTAGTGAGTGTGAGAGACATGTTGGTGTGTGTTCCCGGTGGTAGGAATGTGGTGGGACCGTGTCTCCAGCTGAACTGCCTACCTGTAAACACACAACGCTGCGTCATGCCGCGGGGGTCAGGCGTCAACAGCCACCTGGCGCGGGATAATGCGCCTTACTGGGGTACACAGTTTTACGCGAGATGTTAACAAGCGGGTACACATAGCCTATATATAATATCCCAAGGCGTAAAAGAAAGATAATATATTCAGTAAGGAACATATCCAGAGGTTAGGTTATACACCATTAGTAAGACAGTCCAACACAGCCAACCTTCACTTGTCAGCTGAGTAATGGCGGGAAAACCGCATCTTTGCCCAAAACTCAGAACTTTAATAATCGTTGTGAATAAACCGATGAATGCGTGAATGTGATCAAACAGCTAGTCATCAGAGAGCCGAGTTAAGTTGGAAAGTATGGTCATGTGTTGGTTTAGGGGGAGAGGGTGCCCAGTGCCCACCATAATGGTTGTCGTAAGCTGTACCATTTCTTACGCTCATATCATTGCCACATGTCGCCACTACAACGCCTTCTTCTTGGACGCCCACAGCGATTCTCATGTCATTCACACCTACAGGTTGTTTACATGGTGATATAGCGGGCTGGGGATATATAGATGTTGTGGGAATATATGTGTTCGAGGGAGAACAATATTTGGCGAAACAAAAGACGGTAGTCGGGGCGGACTCGTGACCAGTTCCCGAGGGGTTGTGCCTCTCGCGGCTGACCTTTTACCATGACTCAGGCGTTGCTGCTCTCTCTCTCTCTCTCTCTCTCTCTCTCTCTCAATCACTGGCGGCTGTTATCTATTTATCTTTTAGTGGTTATCTTACAGCTTCAGAAAGTAAGCTTAAATTTTGGTAGCAGTTAAGGTTTTGTCGGAAGCTTGGAAGACTCCGGCCCAGCTTATTTTACCTGAAGATTAATCACCCAATCACTATCTGGGAGGGGGGGGGGTGAGATTAGCGTTAGGGTGATTAATCTTCAGGTGAAATAAGCTTGGGGTGGAGAATCGTCAGGTGATCCGAAAGCTTGATTGGTTGGTTGGTTGATTGGTTGATTTGATTGATTGATTGATTGATTGATTGTTTGGGTGATTGATTGATTGATTGATTAATTGGCATAGTTTATTTAGCTCGAAAAATACAAAGTTCGAATTGATAGATGACACAAAATCTTGAAGTTAGTCTCCAGGTCATGTGGTTCTCTCGGGGATGGTCTCCAGATCATGTGGTTCTCTCAGGGATGGTCTCCAGGTCATGTGGTTCTCTCAGGGATGGTCTCCAGGTCATGTGGTTCTCTCAGGGATGGTCTCCGGGTCATGTGGTTCTCTCAGGGATGGTCTCCGGGTCATATGGTTCTCTCGGGGATGGTCTCCAAGGTACGTGATTCAGGGATGGTCTGGAGATTACGTAGGATCTCCTAGGGTGGTCTCCAGGCACGGTGGCCGGGGTCATGGTGGGCTGCTGTGGTAGTGCTGTCACCTTGAGTGTCCAGTTTATTCCCTAGGGCAATAATCTGCAGGGTGAGGGGTGCGGGGGTGGGTTGGGTGAGGTGGATAAAGGGTAAGGGGTGGTTGGGGTAAGGAGGGATGGTTGATAAAGGTTAGGAGATGGGCAGGTGTGGGTGGATAAAGGTGAGGGGGTGGGTGAGGGGATAGGCAGGTGTGGGTGGATAAAGGTGAGGGGGGTGGGTGAAGGCGTGGGGTTGAGTAAGGGTTAGGGGATAGGTGAGGGAGGGGGTATTGGAGTAAGGACGAGAGAAGCCATGCCCGGCAACACTCTACCCCACTGATGCCTCGCCACCATCACCACCCAAGGAACAAAGACACTGAGGTTACTTGCCAGTCAACCACGCCCCCTTCTCTTGCTACTAGCCACGCCCCTTTCTCTTGTTACTAGCCACGCCCCCCCCCCTCCTCATGCTAGTAAGACCTCTCCAGTTTGCCATGTTCCAACAACTTGGTCTTTTCTACGTGTCTCATTCATCTACTAGCTACACACACCTCCTGCAACTAGCCACACTCCTTCCTGCAGCCAGCCACACCCCTCCTGCAACTAGCCATACCCTTCCTGCAACTAGCCACACCCTTCCTGCAACTAGCCACACCCTTCCTGGGACTAGCCACACCCTTCCTGCAATCAACCACGCCCCCTTCATCAAGCTGTCTGGTGGTACTTACCTTATCCGGGAGGAGGGCGAGACGGTCGCGCCTGCCTCTACCTGTGTTTCCTGTCGCGGACGAGGCAGACGAAGGCATGACACCCACTTCAGGATCCAGTCTTCCAGTACTAATTTAATTGTCGCTTTTATGTTTGACGTCATCGCCTTTGACCTAACATGTTCATTAAATACTCAGCTGTGATCTCGTGTCTAAATGATAAACACAGTCCTGGAAGGTTTCGCTAATTGAGGAACCGTCTTGGGATTTAATTGGATTTTGTACCTTTGGCTTTGTTGTGTCTGCCTCAAGACCTTCGTGAGGTAAAGACATTCCTGGCAGTGATACTTATATGAGTCAGTATAGACTCGGGTGATGCAGTGTGGGGGAAATAATTGGTGAGAGAGGTTAAGCAGGTGGAGACGTGTGTAGCATCCCTGCAGGGACCGCTGAGGCTGCCATACCTCTGTTAACCTAGAGAGCAACAGATGCACTTCCACACATGCCTTTGTTCCTGACCCAAGTTTGTTGTTGTTGAGGGTTGGGGGGACTGTAAACAAGGTGGGAAATTCTCAGCGTGTGTAGAATAGTGGGTACCAGTGTGGGATTTAGGTGGTACAGTGGTATATACACAACCTTCCTGTCACCACTGCTACCACAGACTCCATAAGACCCAAGTCAGGTATAATTTGCACTCCCCCAGTCTATATTACGCGTGTTCTGTCCACTCCCTCTGAATAATATGCACCTCCCTGGATTTTAACTCCCCCAGTCATACGAGGCGACAGAACTAGCTTTGTATATTATCTAGAGATCCACATGTTTCATTTATTATTTTAGGCCAAAAAGTCAGGATTTTATATAATTTAGTTTGGGTGAGGTGTTTAATAATAAGTCAGGGAGAGCAAATAATCCGAGGGGAATGTACAATAATAACTGTGGGGGTGGATATTCTAGTGGAGTGTTAAATGCCACGCCGGCCTGAGAGGGGAATACCAAAGTAATCCTTACCGACTGCTGCAGGTTTTCCCCCCGACACTCCAGTTTCCTTCTGCTACCTACAGTCGACAGAGGAAATGACCCCAATACTGTCTACCTTCCCCTACTCGGAACGTGCGCTGCTTGCCTGACGGAGAGCGATGGTGAGGTGGTTCAGTGACTGTGGTTTAATTTAATAGGCCAGCATTTGTCATGTAACAGGAGGGATGGAGCTGAGTGAGCCAGACACAGCCTCTGCCCTGACTGGCTGTGGAATGTAAACAAAAAATATACAAGATGACATTGGTGTTGTGATCCTCGAACCTGAAGAAAAATAAACAATGAAAACTTCCCTCCTTAGAACCTTAAAACTTGAAGAAAAAACTAACATGGTTTGTGTCCAACCTTGAGTGTGGAAGAAAAAAAAAAGGACATAAAAAGTATTAACTAAGAAAAAGGTTAAAAATAACTATTGTACTGTGATTTATTTTATATTTCTCCACTATTATTCTCATTCATCTGAGGCTCCTACACAATACTCCCTGAGAGGTGGTGTACCTGGCCAGACACACAACTCAAGAGACCGTGTCAGTCACTGTACTACACAACCCTACCCTAAATTTATTGTTGATAGTTCTGTTTATATTCGTACATGATCCCGTACTTGCGCGCACTTAAACACACACACACACACACACACACACACACACACACACATTTTTAGGGCTCAGATAAAGATTGGTGTGTTAATTGGTGTTGAAGGACTAGGATGAACCTCCACGTGACTCAGCGGGCAGGTCAGACAGGACTTGCAGCATTTGACCCCTCGTGACCTCACCATCGAGTTGCCGCTTTAGCAAATCTGAATGAGTCATAAAGGCAAGCATGAACTCCGCATGCGTCCCAGATGGGCATTGTAAACGCTTATGCGCTTCACCTTGCACAGGATGTAAGGGGGTGCCCAATAAACTAGCCCTCTCTGGAGCAATCTAAAAAATCTAAATCTGAGTGTCAGGCTGGAGGGAGGCGCCAAGACTGGTGGCTGGGATACTCTGGTCAGTCGCACCTGCTGGCCAAGTATCCCACAATTAATGAAGTAGCTGGTGCATCATCGTGGGCGTAGTGTCACGCACAACCCTCCTCCACCTCCCTAGATTTCGCGCCGCTCTGGTCGCCTTCTACACGGCCGGCGTCCTCAGTGTCTCCTGTTCATCGTCCATTCACCGCGTCTCGTTTGCTCCCAGGACCCCCGCGCACCTCCCCAAGGGCGTGTCCTTCACCAGCCTTGGGCGGTGACGGCAACAACCACAACCTCTGTAAAGGGCTGAGGTTTGCAGGAACGACAATGCATTGTAATATCAGTTACAATAAAACTCAGTGAAACAAACTATGGCCATGAATAATCTTATTTACTGTACCTTTAACTCATTCACGTGTTTAGATTTCTATAACTATAATATATTTAACGAATAATAATATACAGGGTGTCTCAGAAACATGTATATAGCCTTATAGATTTTCGTGGAGATCGCGTGAATGTTTGAATTACAACAACATTAGCCTCACTTATGGTAGACCTCACACATCAACAAGTTAAGACAGTGTTGCTGGTGGAGGACAGTCATTTACGCAATTGCCATGACAATCTGAAAGCAGTGTGTAAATATTTGTCTAACACACCCTGTATAAGTTATTTTAAGTGCTAAACATTGTCATAGAACCCAGCAAGTTTCTGGTGAAGACGAAGACATATATTGGCTTACTCCGCTAAAGCCACTGGGAGGAACATGCGTAGTTTAGGGAACAGGTTTTTGGTGTTAGTTTCCAAACATCGCATTGCAGGGTGTGGTTATGGGTGGCGGCAGGGTGTAGTGAGGGTGGGAGGCAGCAGTGTGTAGTGAGGGTGGGAGGCAGCAGTGTGTAGTGTGGGTGGGAGGCAGCAGTGTGTAGTGAGGGTGGGAGGCAGCAGTGTGTAGTGAGGGTGGGAGGCAGCAGTGTGTAGTGTGGGTGGGAGGCAGCAGTGTGTAGTGAGGTGGGAGGCAGCAGTGTGGAGGCAGCAGTGTGTGAGTGGGTGGGAGGCAGCAGTGTGTGAGTGAGTGGGAGGCAGCAGTGTGTGAGTGTGGGTGGGGGGCAGCAGTGTGTGGTGTGGGTGGGAGGCAGCAGTGTGTGGGTGGGAGGCAGTGTGTGGGTGGGAGGCAGCAGTGTGTAGTGTGGGTGGGAGGCAGCAGTGTGTAGTGTGGGTGGGAGGCAGTAGTGTGGGTGGGAGGCAGCAGTGGCCCAACAAGAGACGTGTACACCACCATACTGGTTCTCACACCAGCTTGACACACACACACACACACACACACACACACTGGCTGGCAGGGGAAGACAATGGGCTCAAGCAGACTACGGGAACGTACCCAAGACGAGTGTTTTATGGAGGGCCAACAGTCCCCCCACTACTTCATACCCATATCGTATTCTTCTCCATGTAAATGTTGTTCCTTCACTGGACTCCTCAGTACTGTATTTCTCTTCTCGTGAATTCGGAGTGGCTCAGTGTACGTCAGTTACCCGGGTGTTCTGTGTGAATGTTTGTGTTAAGGGAGTCATTGTTAAGGGCGAGGAGCTTAATTTCACGAGCTACGGAGACAGATTGTGCCCCAAAAATGGGCTCCAGTTAAGAGTTGAGGTATCGGGTGGTGGTGGGGCTGGGGTAGGTGTGGAGGGCTGGTGTCGTCGACGGTGTGGCGGTGGTGTCGGGCGGGCGGGATATACGGTGTGACCCCCGGGTGGAGGTCATTACCTGCCCTCCATTCTGCAACAACGTGACCCTTAACCTGTGACTCCTGCTCCCCCTGACCCCGCCCGCCGCCTCGCTACGTGCTCAGGAAACTGGCAGAGTTCGCTCCACCTCCTGCCTCCCCTCACTCCCACGTCCCCTACACCTTCCCGGTACTCTCGCCCCCACCTACACTACACGTAGTCTCACACTCTTCCTCCTCGTCTTCAAACTAATAATCATATATGAGTGACTTTCCAGTTTATGTTGATGACAACCTGTTGAACATTTGATGATAAAGTTATGGGCAGGATTTTCGAGGGATTGTTAAGTTAAGTCTTCCTCCACACTGGGGATGTGAGAACCTTCTGTCTATCACAGTAGACTTACACAAATACGGAGGCCATCAAGGTGTCATAAAAACCGCAGAGTTTTCAGTCGTAACTCTTGTGTTTTATCAAAGGGAAAAATATCGTGA